ATATAGGTAAAAGCATGATAATAAACAGTATAAAAAATAAAATTATATCAAACTACGTTAAAATCAATAAATAATTGGCATGAGACTAAAAGTGTGAGAAATATTATACAGGGTGTTTCACAACTTATTCGACAAATTTTTACCACATATGCACTGTTACGAAAAAATTTGATTTCTCACAAGAAAGATGTAGTAAAACTCCTACAGAAATCTAGATAATAAAATAATACGGTTTAACAGTTCACTTATTTAAAAAAGCTGTTCAAAATTGTTTCCATTGACTGCAATTCAAGCTTGGGCGCGTCTAATCCAATTTCCGCGCACTAATTCAAATACACTACCTCCTTCCTTTTGTGACTGAAGGCTCAAATTATTTATTGGCAGCCATTGTGATTCGGTTACGCAATTGGAGGCCATGCAATTGGTCCACCCATTCCGATTCAGCGTATCTGGTATACCTGGTTAAAAAAATCACGAATTTATTAACGAAAATGCGGAGGTGCCCCATTGTGCAGAAACCACATCCGTGCTTGGACCGCCAATAGCACATCTTCAAGGACCGGCAAACCATTCCGAAGAAATTCCAAATACTAGTGACCATCCATCCGATCTGGCAATATAAACGGTCCAATTAGACGTTCATCGACAATACCTACCCACACGTTTAAACAAAAACGATGTTGGAAATGTGTGTGGACCACTGCGTGAGGTTTCTCAAAGGACCAAACGTGTGTATTATGAAGATTGGTTATCCCATTAAAAGTAAAAGTAGTTTCAGCGGTGGCCAAAATATCAGCTGTAAAACGGGCATTGGGAGCATTTTCTTGCAACAACCACTCACAGAATCTCACTCTAAGGTAGCTAGCAACGCCTGGACTCTCTGGGCGTGATGAGGGTACAGTTGGGCTTCATGTCATATGCGGCACGCTGTTGCATGTGACACTTCTGGGACCTGTTGGGCCTTGTGCTTATTCCCGGATTTTCTTCCACAATATCCAAAATTAGGTCTTCGGTATTTAAAACGCGTTATGGGCGAACCCGACCCCCATTCACTCCACACACAAACTAAATGTTTCGTGACGTGGTATGTGCCTATTCGGAAGTCGGTGTGTATACAAACGAGAAGCCGCTCGCAAATTTTGCCCTGCTTCTCGGTACGCTAAAACAATGTTCACTAACTCCTCATTAGTGTACACATGTGCCATTTTTATTAATAAATAACTAAAAACATAAACTCGTAAAATATTTTCTTATTTAACTTTACAAACATCGACCGTTCTTCATTCAGATCACCGCGATACGGATTAAACCTTATTTACACGTTCTTATCAGTATGAAAAAACAAAAACTTCCTGGTATTTTGTTTTCGTCGGTAGTTTGGTACAACATTTGTTACAATAAATGATTAATGTGTGTTCTAATATAACGACGATGAACGCAAATTACAGATATTTATTCTTAAATTTATTATTGAAACTCAGGTTTATAACTTAATTTCTGTGGGACTTTTAATAAAAAAAAATTAAGAAATCAACTTCTTTCGTAAAAGGGCATATGTGGTTAAAATTTGTCGGATAAGTTTTTCACAGCATTACTGTTGTCATTGTATGCTAGAGATCTTAGTTCCTTAGGTAAAATATTATAAAACTTTATGCCACGGTAGTTAACTCCATTTCTTGTTTTAGCAAGTCCAGGTTGCTTTGGGTACAAGTTGTCTCGGTGTCGGGTATTATATTTGAATGAGTTTGATGGTGGCTTGTATAAAGGTCAAGATTTGACTTGACAAGCAAGAGGCACCAGGCAAGGTCATGATCTTTAGTTTGATAAACTCAGATCTGCAGGTATCCCTATACTTTAGATTTGCTTTATACCAGATACATCTTCTCTGTAGGGCAAATACTCTGTGCATGTGTGAATAGTGGCCCCACGCCAGAAGGACGTATGTCATTTTGCTATGGAAGTACCAATGGTAACTGGTCAACAGGACGTTTAGTGAAACTGAGTGCTTTAAATTGCGTATTAAATAAATTATTCTTTTAAAGCTTTGGTAACATGACTGATATATTCATCCGAGTTCAAGGAGGAGTCAATATACACACCAAAAAACTTCACAACGTTTGCATGGCCACCATTCTGATTATTATTTCGAAGTATGATTGTCATGGATTGAGGTTTGTTTGAATTTGAAGTTAATTCGTTAGCTATAAACCAATTCTTAATGCTAGAAATACTGGCTGTCGTTTCGCTGTTGATGTTTGTAAATGTATCGTGGATTGCAACCAGAGTGGTGTCATCAGCATAAAGAATGAGCTTACTGTTTATACTGTTTGGACGATAATTTGGTAGGTCGTTTATATAGAGCAGGAATATCAATTGCCAAGGACAAATCCTTGTGGCACGCCATGAAAAACTGTGCTGATTGTCTATGTACAGCCGTTGTATTCGACGAACTGTTGCCTTTGCTCTAAATAGGATCTTAGGAGGCTTGGAACGCAGTATAGTTGTACAAAGTCGAAGGCTTTGCTCAGATTGAAGAAATTGCCCTCTATATATTGATTATTTTCAAAATCATCGTGTACAGTGGCAAAGAAACTGTTCATTGCAGTAATGGTTGATAAGCCATTTTGTAAACCCATATTGATGAGATTTTAGGAAATTGTTGGTTTCCAGATAATTGCTCAGTTGGTCCTTGAGTTCAATTTCAAAAATTTTCGCCAAGTATGGTACCAATGATATAGTACGGTGGTTCGAAACTTCGTCATAGTATCAAATCCAATGACATTATACAATTTGATCCATTAATGAGTAGCAGCGACAGGTAATTATAAACTGAACAATTTAGTAAATAAACTGCACAAGATTAGGTTTGATAAATATATTTTTCTGCACATGGGGTAGAATTAATGAGGAGAAAAGTGCAGATGCATACTGCAAAAATTGATAACTGAAGCTTCATGACGTTTAGGCAACACGTACAACTAAGTGCTAAGTTAACATCTTGTAGAAAAAACTATGTAATGTCAAAAAAAATCTATATAACCTCACTTTTCAAGATACGTAATACCCGTGACTAACACAAAGCATGCGATCAGCTCCCATAGCTGACACACCTGTACCACAATTCGTTATCCTTCCCAAAATCACCACAAATGACGCATAGTTCCTCAACATCTGTCTCACCTCCCCTTCCTTCAACAAAATCGTCATCTAACTCTTCTTCATCATCACATAGAACATGTAGATCTTCATCAGAATATGGTGAACTCTCGTTTTCTACGAGCCCCTTCCCACTTCAGTTGTCCCAACTATTGAAATCTTAGTTTTTTTCAAACACAAATAAAAAAAATGTAGCAGGGTGTTATAGGTTTAAAATATTAACAATGAATATTTTGATAATATTTAGTAGAAAACATCGACTTTATCACTCCCTAATCAAATTTAGGTGGCTGTGAAAAATAAAAGCCATGACAATTGTTTTTATTAATCACAGCTGTCAGAATACGTTTAAAATAGTTTTGGGTAGTTACGGTTTTCAAAATAGGTAGAGGAAAGGTTATTAGTGAGAAAATTCGGTTACTGATAATTACATTTTTTAATTCTGGGAAATCAAACTCAGAAACTGCAACTTTGTTAGACTTATCGCGGTACAGTGTGCGAAATATTGGTAGAAGATATAACGTAACTGGTTCAGCTAATATTAAGCCAAGATATGTGAAAAAAAGTAATATCACAAATGCCGACCGAAGAGCATTAAGAAGAATAATCGTCAAAAACAGGCGTGCCAATTATTTACAATTAAGTGCTCTGTGGAGTGACGCTGTTGGAAGGAGAATTTCGAGGTCCACAACTCATAGAGAGGCCTACAAACTGGGATTTAGCACTTGCAAGGTAAGTTTTCTTATACAAAAAAAGTGAAGTAAAAACCCTAAAGTTGCACAACTTGTTTATAGGCCGAAGAAAAGCCACTATTAACTCCATTGCAAAAGAAAAATCGGCTTAGATGGACTAAAGAACATAGACAATGGACACCTCAACAATGGTGTGCAATACAATGGAGTGATGAGGCCCGATTCGAAGTTTGTGTTGGTGACAGTCGCAGTAGAGTTATTCGCAAAAAAAATGAAGCATTCCATGTTGACTGTCTGAAGAGAAAAGTGAAATTTCCAGCATCTATTAGGGTCTGGGCCACTATGTCATCAAAAGGAGTAGGAAGACTTCATTTTATTGATGGAAATGTGGATACAAACAAATATTTGGCAATTTTAGAAGAATCGCTTTTACCAGTGATGGAAGAATGTTTGACATCCGGCCAAGATTTGTGTTTCAGCAAGATGGTGCAGCGTGCCATACCTCAAAAAAGGCTATAAAATGGGTGGAAGAAAATAATGTACCACTTTTGAAATGGGTTTCTAGCAGTCCAGATCTGTCACCTATTGAAACTTTGTGACAGGAGGTGAAAAAGGTTCTACGACAACATCTTGCTCGTACAATCACCGAACTGAGACAAAAGCTTCAAGAAATATGGGATTGTTTTACACCAAATTTTTGCCAAAACGTGGTTAACACTATGCCCCAAAGAATTTCAGCCGTAATAAAAAATAAAGGTGGTATTACCCAATGGTAATATTCCAATTGTTGCTTTGTTAATTTCGCGCATTTATTCGCACATTGTTTATTTGTTCAGTTGTTCTATTAGTTATAGGTCTAAGTGATTTCAGATATGTATTTTTTACGACTAGAGTATATCTAAAATGTTTTTGAAAGAATAAATTGTTTTAGAAGTAAATAGTTTCGTCATGTTTAGTTTATAAAAGCATATCTTGGTACAAATCTTGAAGTGGGCCAAGTGAAGTGGGAAGGGGCTCGTATTTGTTTCTTAAAACTTTTTCATTTTTTCTTTTTAAATTTTTTTGCAATAGTCTCAGAGTGTTCTTCTAGTTTCTTCTTTTTGGCGGCTCGCTTTTCCTCATTTTTTTTCTAAAACAGATTTCATAGGCGATGAAGTAAGTAATTTTGATTGTTGTTTAGTCCTTTCACCTATACCTTTCCCTTTTGAAATGTGTTTCTTTTCAGGAGATGGTGATATTTCACTAAAAGGTATTACGTGTTCAAATGATTTATTTCTCACAGGAGTCACAAAAAGTGGCATGCTGAATTCCTGCCTGAGATGATGTTGACGGAAGAGACTTATGAACTGCATCTGGTTATGGATTTTCAGGAAGCAACGAATATTGGATTCCTGATTTTGACAGGCATGTATCATCAGCGGATTCATTTGAGTCTGTATTTGTAGGTACTAAATACGACCTCTCATTAAAGTCCATCGGAGTGTCTAGTAAAGCAGACATCTAAATTTTCTGGCTCCATCCTGATATCTTGCAATAGCCTGTTCAGCGGAAATCCTGTCAGGAGATTTTTCATTTCCTTCTTGTATCAATTGGTTGAACACGTTTGGATTGAAGGGCCAAATGTCTGATGCTCGGAATCTGCTTACTGCTTTTCCTACATTAGCTACCTTCGAATATGCTTGAGTGAACAGTGGAATCAGTTGCAGTGACGTTAGTTTTCCATATTGATGGAGTTTCATATAGGCATCACATTCTTTATACAAAGCTGCTTTCAAAGGACTGTATAGTGTAAGATCCAGGGGTTGGGTCCTGTGCGACGTACGAGGTGGTATTGTTAACATAATAATACCATCTTAGCGACAAAAATCGTAAATTCTCACAAAATATGACTGTGATTGTCTAGGATCTTTATTACCGGGTCTTCCAATGAGGGTTTTGTATGCACTAGCCATGCATAGAACAGTTCTTCAGTCATCCACCCTGACTTACAGATCTATAAATCGAACTATTCGGACCTCCTTGCTCTAGTGATGGATGCATTCTCAACCGAGGATATACAATGAGTGGTGGAACATTCTGACCTATTGCGCTAATACAGCAACAACTGGTAATATTCTTCCCACGCTCCCAACTGGTGGCAGATTTTACTTTCTTAATTCCTCAAGGAGCAACTATTTCACGCGAATTGTAAACAGCGTTGATGCCTGTTTCATCGACATTAAATTCTTCACGAGGACGAAAGCTGTATTTGTCGTATGTTGGTTGATATAAGATTATCAAAGAATATCTGTAACTATGTGGCATTAAAGGCAAGGATTCTATTTACGCTGGTAGGTTCCGGCCGTCTGATGCTTTTTTAAGGGTTCTTTTTTAAAAACCCATAAATCCAGTCTTTACCAGCTTCTTTTTTATCTTTATTGAAAGTATTTTTAATTTTAGACTATGCGTATGTAAAAACTGCTGCTTTCAATGATTGTGGCTCAATCCATAACAAAAATTCGCCAGAAGCAATATTTGGTCTCTAATTTCTGTCTTCTGTTCACTAGAGAAAACGGATTTTCTTCCCATGCGAAAAGAAAGATCATAGCTGCCCCTTTTTGAATAATCAGATAATGTCATAACAGGAATACCACCATACAAAGCAGCTGTCGACCTCAACTTTGCTCCACCACGAGTGTCCCTTATTGCACTTTCCGTTTTTCTAGGGACCAAGAACACTTCTTCTCAAACTCCATCTGTAAATAAAGTTTTTATTTCCTCATATCAAAGGTCTGACGGTCCAAATAATGAAATCATTTACTGGGGCAATTTCAGAAACAATTTTAACATTATCCAGGAACTGATTATTTCGATGCGGCAAATACCGTACACGTGTACGTACTTTACCGATGTACAATCCTCCATGTTTAAACAGAATCATGTGGAAGCGGATGGTAATATTACAATGAAAGCAACTAATTTCATTAAACAAGAATGTTGTTTAACCACTTTAACAATAAAAACAACAGATATATACATATAAAGTATTTACAATTCTGTTTTCGAAGGGGAAATATTATATCCACGACAGCAAAAACACAGATCATGCTCTCGCCGCCATGTTTGAACATATACTCGTATGGTCCCGCATGGGTATCATGTAAAAAACCTATAAAACGTCAAAAAAACCTATAAGATGTCATCTTGCAAACTAGGTAGTTTTTAGGGCGCATTCCACGTTTGCTCACTAGGATCGTTGTGAACGTCCATCTAAGGAGGAATCACTCAACTAAACTAAGCGCATTATTGGTTGCATATGTTTTGGGAAGCCAAATGGTTCTTGTCTGTAGTTTTTATCTCTGAGAAGAAAGTTGGTTGGATAGCAAGATGGCATCTGGATGATTATGTGTATTGGTCTGCATGTGTATATAATCGGTAATATTTGCTGTGTGAGAAAATCATTACTGAATAAGCTGCCAATGAAGTGTATCTGTTGGCTGTGCCCGATGGGTTTATATTTTCATTTACGCAGTACAGCTAAATGTATTCAACAAAGAGTCAGTCAGTCAGAGTTTTCCGTTTTATTTCTCTTTTTTTGTATTTCGAAAAAAATTGTTATAACTTCTTGATTACTTTTGTTAAAAAATTCAAGTACAATTATTAAAGAATAACAACTTATTATATATCTGAGAACTGTCATATAATTCATAAAATTTTGCTTTTTTAATTTGTATTAAAACGTTTTTCTTTTTTAATTTCATGGCGTTACGTACCATCTGAATATTAATCAATTTAAAAAAAATGGTTTAAGGGGTTGATTTTTTACGAAAAAGATGGACTTGCAAATAAAATTTGTTACCCATGTATCATGAAAGCGAAGTATTTCTTAAAGTTACTCAAGTCCCATTGAACTTTGACCAGGTACTTTATTAACCCATGTTCAATTGAAAAATCCCGCCCTTTTCACGACCTAACCTGTCATATATTGTTTGTTTTGGCGCTTCATTCTGCACACATCTCTTGTATCATTTGTATACAGTTTTCGGTAAATAATAAATAATACAGAACTTACTATCAAGTACAACAACAGAAGGCTCCTGCCATGAAGGCCTAGTGCTAATTCGCACTAGGAAATTTTCTTGTCTATAATTGATGTATAGTCTATGCAAACCTGTATAAACAGGCAATATTTATCGTCAAGCTACAATGCATACAATATAAAATACATACTTTTGTACTAACAGACCATTCCGCGCCTACTCGCTGTGAACGCCACCTATGGAGGAATGGCTCAACGAAAATGTTACCAAAGATATAACTCGCGCTCGCCAGCATGCTTTGTGGGTTGCCAAGAAAGTATACGTGGGTTATCTATCTTCGTTCCGTTCTAAATATATCATGTAATTACAAAACAAAGCTCTTCGGCTTTGTTGCTTTTTCAAAAACTTTAGTTGAGAAGCATTACCGGGTTGTGTATGTAGCAGGTCAGTCAAATTAGATCTTTAGTTTTTGACTTGCGGCACTAAACTCTGCTTAATAAATTCAGTGAAGTCAAAAACTTAATTACAGAATGCTTCATGTATATATCCAATTCACTTATTTAGCCTGCGAAATAATCTCTGTTTCTGACTGTTTATATGCTCAGCACGTATATACAGCCAAGCTTATACCGTCTTATCATCTGTGTTCAGTAGGTGCCGCTGTCAGTGTCGTACTATAGCTATGCAACCATACATTCATGCAAATGGGGTTACCGCAGAGGCAATTAGGCACTGTGTAGAATATTTAAAAATGGTGCATCCTAAAAATGAAGCATCCCTTGTGTGTTCTACGAATATTCCTAGCAAGAATATTACCAATCACTTTTAGAGAATACTAGATTGTAGAATGTTCACTTTGTGTTTACTGGGGTCTCGCTAGAATATCGTAAAGTGCACCTCACTATACTTTAAACAATTTGTTTGTAGCCTTTTTTCTCATTTGTTGGTAGTAATATGCCGATTACCATTAGAATCGGATTGCATCTTATCTTCGCTCATTCGATAATTGAAACCCCTGATGTCACAGTAAGATGAGACAGAAGGACTTTTTCAATTACTGTTGGATGTGCTTTGCTCTTGAAATATATTTTTTAATCACGTTGTTCATCTAGAGGTGGTAGTGATAAAAAAGCAGGTAGTTCGACATTATAACTTAACATCCGGAATGAAGAGCATTGGCAGCATCGAGCTACTAATCGAAGGACCCGAGGCTCGTAGGTTCGAAAATTCCGAGCCGTTCAAGTTGTGAGGTGTGTTGTCTTTATCACGTACCACATCAGAATTAATATAGGCACATCACTTCGCTCGTTTATTTAATAGTCAGCTAGCAGTAGGTGACTTGTGGAGTAGTACAGTGTTGACACCATGGAATCGGCAAATAGGGTTAAAGGTGCCCTAGTTGCTCTTCCACTACTAGTACTTACTACTACTAAACATCCGGGATCCGACGAATTCCCGCTTGACGCCGCTTACTTTGTACCGTTACTGTTTGAAATTTGTCGATAACAGATCTATTTGCATAGCTCACGAAGGTAGATGTTAAATGAATGTCAATTTGAATAGATAGCCAACCGCAAACATTTCACTAGGGTGCATGTTTGTAGACATGAAGATATATGTATCAATTTTCCACTATGCTGATCGGATGATTACCTTATCAGTGATTTTAATGATTTAGACATTTAGAGTGAAACATATGCTAATTTCTCGGCAATCCTTGATAATTTAGTTTGGAATAAAGAGCGGAGCTTGACAGTGTCTCCAGTCGCACGTTTTGGTATTTAGATTGTCCCTGAGTGAAAATTTGTTTCACATCACAACCACAGAAACAAAAATCTTAAATACCTTTGTATATCAAACTATAAAAAGCAAATCTAACCTATTTATGTTTTCATAGGAGATGTATGGAAAATATGTGTGACTTATTATGCCTAACAGGTGCATAGTATCGCAGCTTCTTTCACTGTGACCAAATATGAAACAATTTACAACCATTTACAGCATACAGCTTCCAATCTACAATTTTCATCCCCTCCAAATGATATCTGAAAACGAGCAGGAATATCTGAAACGATATAACACTATTTTCCAGAGATTTTATTTCTTTGTTCGTAGTACTTACCTAAACTATGAGAGTGTTGCACTCGCGTTAATATTCGAACTTCAGATTCACAGGTTTTCTATTGCTTAAGGGTATCTGGATCACACAAATTCGTATTTCTTATGTATGCCGGTTTGTCAGTCCGTGACCGTTGTATATCAATGCGTCATAAATACTGAGTCAATCTACTTCAGAAATATTCAGAGAACCATCATAGTCGGAGTAGCACAAAGTTAGACGAAGTGGGTGGTACATTTATGGATATTAAAATTCAGAAACATATATATGTAGATGTAATTTAAGTCATCGCGAAACGCTAAAGTGGTACGTACTTCTAATATCCAGAATATAAAAACATTCTCCTGTAGCGGTGTGTCAGTAACGACACCACCGCATATTCACCAGTTAGAGTTGCACAGTCGGCAGTAGACTCCTCGACGATGCTGTATTATACGTCAGATTTTTATCATTTAATTTTCCCGTTGTTACCGGGATCAGAAGCTACATAAAGATAGAACGCCTTTGACTAATACTAAAGAAGTAACATTTACAACCCCCTACCCTCTACAATTACCAAGCAAAAGAAGTTTTCCAAAAATGATAGGAGGAGCCTCGAACGAAGTTTGAGCGATTTTTATTTTCTTTCGTGTTTTGATCCCCACCTCCGCCGCCTCTGGACCGATTTTTAAAAACTACAAAGCTTTGTCATCCTTGGTACAGT